TGTATATAGGGTTCAAGATTGCCAGTCTAGTCTATTGGTTTGATATGATGAATAGGATTGTTGGATCGTGATCTTGTGGTAGTTGGTTTGGAAATGAAGGAGTAGAGTTTTTGTTATTGTTTTTCTATGGCTTGAAAATGTTCACGGTTGATGGGTTCAGTGAGCTGTTCCATTTCCGGTCTGCGCCCTTGGGTCATGTCAAAGGTCACGATCGTTCCGGTCGATTGTGTCAGGTTGAGATCAGGGTAAAATATACGGGAACCATTCGTCGGCTTGTGAATTGAGTATGTAGTATTGCAACAGGGAAAGTACAATCGGTGGCCTTTTCTATTCAGTTTCTCAGTAACTCAGACTTAGAATCTCATTTATGAAGAGTTTTTTTCGCTGTCATCAGTGATGCTCTCGGAGGCTGTTCTGTCGAATTCTTCAGAATGAATCGTTCCGGAAAACCATTCTCAAATAGTGTTTGCTCCATGCTTTCCAGTTTCTAAACAAATTCCCCTCGCTCGATACACAAGAGTTTGAACTACTCTAGTGCTGGTATATGGATGATATTTTCATCTTGATTGCAAATCAAAGCCACAGATCTGTTTTTAAATGACTTCAAAAGTGCCCACACCGCCATCATTTATGGAATTGGGAGCTATTTTGCTGTTGGATCAAATTGAACTGACTAAGTATCTCTCAAGACGACACATGAACAAACATGAATTGGCGATTCGGTTTAGCCCTGGTATGAGCTGGTTGGCAAAGTGGTAACACACACGCCATCCATGCTATGGTTTCGGAATTCAAGTCCCGCACGGGACGCTGGATATACACTACTAACGAGAGAAACTGGATTCTAGTGCTTCCGAGTGTACGGTTGACTGGAAGAGCTGAGGAAATTACTACCTACCTTCAAAAGTCGCACCTCAGGTGCACTGAAATGGAAAGACAATCATATATATGGTCAACATAGGTAGCTAATGATTGTTGTGACATCGGATGGTTGGTGACTTAGAGAGCACATCTTAATTGGGGGCCATTAAAAGTGCATTGCACCGAACGTGTCAGTAGAGAAGAAAGTCGTTTTTATAAAACTTCCATTCAAAGGAGACGTCGCTGTTGGAATCAACGGCGGGACACTTAGTTGACATGCGCTCGGCATTCACATTCATTTATCGTGTCTCGCCACACGCGTCGACAGCAACGCGATTTCGGATGTTAGCGACCGCTTGGGAGACTATCGTCCGTCTCATGAAGCCCCGAACTGCGCGTAAAACGAAAACTAATGCAAGCTCTCAAACTCCCCTGGCCATCGGAAGAGAAAATCGCCTTTTCACATGCCCGTGACATAACATAGTGAATTTTGGTTACGCAATTCAAACAGCTGATCATTGTGCATTCTATCGGGCTCAATATCACACATCCACCCGTCTATTCGATGCTGCTGTAATTGTTTTATGTAAATGTGGCTGTAAAGTTTTGGAAAGAAATTCACCGAAAACATATGTTCTTAATCAAAAGACCCATTTCGTGACTAAAAAAACTACTAAAACGTTTTCAATTTCCTTCTGTCCCCCCCCCTTCCCCCCGTGTGATTTTGAATGTGGCTCATACTCAGCGTGCCTATCGGAAACTGTCCACGGTGATGAACGAGAATTCATCTGAGGCAACCAATTCGCGTGAGAACTCCAATGCGAAACCCAAATTGGCTACCAGTAGTTTGCATTTGATGCAGGCTTTGTTCGTTGTATTGGGTTATATGTTTCGGTGAGTTCCACATAACATTTATTTGACTTTTTTGTGATTTTCTTGTGAATTTCGTACTACATGGAGCAACGAAAACGTGAACTGAGAATCCGGAAAGCACTGTACAACTATTTCGACCTTAATAGCTGCACAATTCCATCGTGTAGTGGCAAAGTCATCCGTGAGCGCGGTGTGGAGGAACTCCGTTGATTTCCTCTCGTCGCCAAGGACAACGAAACCAGCTGTACGAACTTGGGGGCTATTATCCTCGTCAGCACAACTGTTGGGTTTTTCGCAGCTATTCTACTACACCACTTTGCTGCTGAACTGGAGCACGGGGACACTTCCAAACCCGTTTGGTTTTCACAGAGGCAGAGATGGTACTGATTATCGGCGAACCCTAGAACGTTATCCTACATTCCAACACCCAGCCTCAGCCTGCTGCATTTACTTTCGCACCACATTTGACTCTGTTGATAGAAAGTCACTCTGGAACATACTACCTACAGATTGAATCCTCGAAAAGTACAATGGGCTGATGATGTCATATTACTAAGCAACGCGAGCATGCACGTAAGCCTACGGAGAAGAGTGGTCAGAGTTTCTACTCAATTCCGCTGTCCACTGGGTTTGTTTCCCGTCACCAGTTCTGTTTATCTAGGCCTCAGATAATATAATGCATTGTGACCTTACTGAGGAATCTCAGGCAATCACAGGATCTGGGTCACCAACTTTGCTGCTGATGTTTTCTTTTTAGGCGGAGATCCTGATAATCCGCAATCGGTACTTATCCGTTTTGGATGTGAAGCCAATGCTGTCGGTCTGGAAATAAGTTCCAGAAAAACGAAGTTCATCTTAGCTTCCTTTGACTCTTCACGGCAATGATAAAACATCGAAACACCTGCTCTATTTCTTAAGTACCCAGGATCCACCCTGGAGCCAAACGGTCAAACCAAAGATGAAGTCAAACTTCGTATTTATTGCACAAAAATAACAGCAAATAAACTTCTACCGTTCCTTTTGTCCTTATAGAATTTTGCTTATCGTGGCCACCGAGGATGGATGGCACGAATAAGCTTGAAAGCTTCGACCACTAGTGTCTTCTGCACTTGATATAATAGGGTGCGGTCATGATTCGAACTCTATCATCCGTCAACATTGTACATTGGGAGGGATGGAGGTTATTCTCATTTCAGCGACACCGTCTATGGTAGGGGTTCNGGAAACGGAGCTCACATGAAAAATCCCATCATCGTCGATTGTAATTGTAACCTCGAGGCGAAGTTGGGTTGGTGGTTGGTGACAGTTAAAAATGCGAGTAAATTCAGTCAAATCGGTTTTCGGAGCACACAATTCCATGGCACCCCGACCTTTTTGCCGATTGCCATGCATAGGCAGCCCCACATCAGAGACATCCATAAAGCTAACTTATCTTCATATAGGGAATAGTTATATTAAAGTGAAACATTACAATCAGCTGCTGACAGTAAAGTGGGTATTTTTTGTATTGTATTGTGTTGTATTTGTAACTTATGTAAGCATATAAGCTTACATTTTCTTGCTTTCAACCTGTCAGGACCCCGGTTTAATCCCCAATGCGGTCGATTGATTCGCACTACAGATGAAGTAGGTGTATAATGCTTCCCAACTATTCAGTTCACGTTCCCTTTTCTCTGCTACGAATATCATGGTGGAGTTCGATTTAATCTGCCGCTGCACTCCTGTTTCTTTCATTTGCCGTATGGAACTGAGCTAATGAAAACATGTTTTGGTANTGGACTGTGTGTATATGTGTCCCCTGCCGCTGTTCGGCGAATAATGTTAAGCCATACAGTGCGCAAAATAACGGAATAACCCTTTGGTTTTCTTTTGTGGCATATTTTCTTTCACAACGTGGTTTTTTCGGCGAATTTATTTGTAAGACAATGTGATATGAATACGGACACATTTTTGTTTTTCGCTTCGGTGAAATTAAAATATGACACATACCAGAGAAGTGATGCGAGACAATTGCTGACCGCTTATCGCGGGGTCGCTTTTGTCTGCTGCCAGGAGTCGATCGCACGGATCTTCGACCCCGTCTCTGTGGGGAAGAAGTTTTAATGTCTCTTGCATCACAAAGAGTTTTA